TTTTTTTTGGTGATACAGAGAATAGGGATTTGAACCCAGGGGTGCTCTACCCATAAGTTATATCCCAAAACCTTTTCATTTTTGAGACAGGGTCTCACAAAATTGCCCAGGCTGATCTTGAACTAACAATCTTCTTGCCTGAATCTTCTGAGTCACTGGGAATATAAGCATGTGCAACTGCACCCAGCTATATATTTTTTATTAAGAAAACTGAATAGGGCTAGGGTTGGGGCTCAGTGGTAAAGCACTCACCTGGCACACATGAGGCACTGGGTTTAATCCTCAGCACCACATAAAAATAAAATAAGGATATTGTGTCCACATACAACTTAAAAAATACATATTAAAAAAGAAAGAAAACTATTGAATAAATTTAATCTGGCAAATTCAGTATTTTCAACCTCCCCCCCCCCAAAAAAAAAATCAGTGATAACTGACTTTGAGTATAGTCCCCTTGTACAATATCCATGGATACATAATTATATGTATACTGACATTTACATGCATATCCACATACATGTCCATATCCATATCTAAATATTCAACAGACATCTGGCTTGTCACAGGCAAAGGTGAATAGGCCCTAGAACAGGAGTGCTTATAAATCTTTATATTTTTTACTGCAAAAGAATTTCAATGAACAAATGTTTGGGAGCAAAATAGAAAATTCCCTTTAGAATAGCATAGTAATAACTGTTACAGGAAAGATGATAAACTTAGCACATTGTCAAAAATCCCACTTAAGCCATCCAAACATTGAGAATATATTGAGAGTTTTGATTTTTTTTCTGGTTTTATTTGTGTTTGTTTGGTTTTGTTTTGGGGGAGTTTTTTGTTGTTCTTATTACTAGGGATTGAACTCAGCCTGACATATGCAGGGTGAAAGTATGAAAAGAAACTGGATGTTTTGATAACCTCAAAGTATTTTTTCCAAGATATTTACTTATCAGTGAAGGGAAAGGTTCTAACTTTGCCATGGAGAAACCTGACAGATATCACCTTAACCAACTGATTAAGGTTAGTATTAGTACAGCCAGCAGTGTCATGAAGGGCCCTCATTAGCAACCACCTAGAAGGATGCTGCCCTGAGGCCCTGCAATCGCAGTGACTGGAAGAGACATTATTTGGGGACATGAAGGTAAATGTTTACTAGTTGAAAGCCAGGTGGTGGGAAACACTGAAAGGAATGAGTATGAGTCCCAAGCTCATGGGAGGAGAGAATCAGTGTCTGAAGAAAGTTCATAATGCTACAAAGAGAGAAATTCAGGCACCAAAATCTCACCATATCCACCACATCATGACTATGTGGCATGAGAAGGCAGTATAAGTCATTCTAACACATCTACCTTCACAGTGGAGTAATATCACAAAGACTCTCCCAATTTAATACTCACTTGAAGATCAAACATCACACTGAAAAGCTTGCAATAAGTCAGAGAGAGAGAGCTTGGTATCATTATTAATGAAATCAAAATTATGTTTGCAAACTGGATTATTAGAATCTTGTCTTAAATGGATTTGGGTATGATATGTAAGTCTCTATAAGACAGCTGCCAGGCTGAGACAAGTGTGCCAGTTGTGGGGATGCAAATGATTATTTGCTATAATGCACCTAAAATATGTAGGATTTTTATAGAATGTATAACCAAGAAAAAGCAAAGCAAGCTCTCCTTAAAGATTATCAAAATTAGGAGATCCGTAGAAATCTTTCAACCTTTCCCATCAATGGCTTTGACATTGGACAGAAAGGTCCACAATATCAAGGCACTGAAATTTCTTTTGATGATACCTGGAAGAAAATTCCACCTCCCGTGTCTTCCATATAACCAAAACAATGGGCAGTGTTATGGTTTGGATCATAAATGTCCCTCAAAAGCTCATGTGTTGAAGGCAGTGTTCAGAGGTGGGGCTTTGGAGGAGGTGATTGGATCTCAAAGGCTCTGACCTCATGAATGGATTAATCCATTCATAGATTCATAGTTTAGTGGGTTTTGATGGGAGGGCTTTATGATAAAACCTCTGCCTCCTTCCACCTCCCTTTCACTTTCTTGGGCACCATGGGGTAGGTAGCTTTGTTCTATCACCTGCTCCCTACTATGATGTTCTGCCTTGCCTCAAGACTAAAAGCAATGGAGCCAGCCGACCATGAACTGAAATATCTGAAACAGTGAGCTAAGATAAATCTTTCTGCCATTAAGTTGATTTTCTCACAGTGATGGAAAGTTGAGCAACACAGACAGTAAAGTTACTATTCAATGAAAGAACATCCAAACTGATTCAAACTATTTCAAACAAGAATGAATTATATTCTGCTTCAGAATGCTGCTAGACCCAAGTTTGTGATTCTGTTGCTGAATTTGGACAATTAGACAACAAAATAAAGATCAATAAATAATAAATGTGTATTTGTATTAATTTATTCTGACCATGGCAGTTCTACTGATAAGTTAGCTATGAGCATGTTGGGCCCTAAGGATTCAATGTTAAAACTCAGTACTGAAAATTAAGTCATTCAAAGAAAGAACCACTTTGTTCAGAAAGATACTCAAGTAAATTTGAGATAGAAAAGAGGTCCTCTTACTATTCTCATATAAGATCCACCACCATACTCTCACAAAATAGAGTCCCTTAAAACACCAAGCAAATCCAGACATAGTACCCATCATAAACACAAGAGCTGACTTACACTTTCTTCAGGTCCAGCCACTGACTCTCCTGATAGCTTCCTTGGCTCTGGCTTTGTTCCAAAAACAATGTCCCAGATCTGCCTCTCATCTACTCTGCTGGCCATGGGCTGCCCCAAGCATTTATCATTTCACCAGATTGCCCTGAAGTATTTAACAAGTCCATCATGGGCTTCTGATCACAGGACATGGTTGTAAAACATCACCTGCATTGTGGTCTAAATGTCTGTGTCCCTCCAAATTCATATGTTAAAACATAATCCCCATCCCCAGTGTGACAGGGTTAGGAGGTGAGACCTAGGAGGTGATTAAATAATAATGTTCCTCCCTCAGGAATGGGATTCATGCCCAAATAAGAGAGGTCTCAGACAGCTGCCCTGGCAGAGAGAAACCACCAACTATAAATAAAGAAATGGCCCTTCTCCAAACTCCAGACCTGTCAGTGCCTTGATCAGGGACTTCGCAGCCTCCAGAACAGTGAAATATAAATCTCCATTGTTTATAAGCCACTGAGTCCGTGGATTTTGCTATAGCAGCCTGAAGAGACCAAAACAGCCTGCAAGGTCACATCCAAACCACATTTGAACTCTAACCCTTCTGTTGCAAATCTGGGTAAGGACACAATTGAAATACAGTCATCCAAGCAATAAAAGTTTGGGGGACAGATGAAGTGGCATCCTACAAATTAACAATAGTACAGCAAGTGTTTGTAAGATCATTGCCACATTTTAAAGGGCAAGAGTTGAATGACAGTATATTTGAAGTTCTATGTAATAATCACCTACATTCCTCAATCATCCTTCTTTTAGTAAAAGAGAGGTTGTGAAGAGCCACAGGCTCTGTGCCAAAGGGTAAGATTTAGAAATATTAATAGGGGGCCTTTGCCAAATTAATAGGATCAAGTTCTTTTCATGAACATAATACAGTAATAAGCTGAAAACTCACTTTATTGTTATTTGTTCCAAAAATAAAATCTAGCCAAAAGCTTTAAGGCTTTCTTAAATCCCATACAGAGGGTTTCTACTAATGGGAAAGTTTTAAGATCCTATTATAATGCAGCTTAACTTACAAAAAGGTTTCATTGCACAAAAGTCTAAAAAAGGCTTGACTGAGTTCTAAATAAAGAGTAAAGGTATGAAAATTATACTTGTGTAAGTGCATATATATATAATGCATAATATGCATGTAAATGTATATAATACTATATACCACATATAATTACAACATAATAAAACTTCTTCTAAAACCTTCCAAGGGCCAATATTTACCTGTGATAAAATTCATGAAATCATTATAACTATGCTATCTAAAAGCAAACAAAGAAACAGACATTCATTTCACAATCTTTTAAGATTTTTCAGTGCTGAGGACTGAACTTCACACATAGTAGGCAAGAAATCACTGAGCTACATCCACAGTCACAGAATCCTGAATATTCCATGGCACTAAAGAAAAATTTTAGCAAGACCCTGACATTAATATGCTTTTAAAGGTATTCAATTTTAAAAACTGATAAGCACTTAAAGAACCAGAGAAAGAGAGGAATGCTGTGAACTAACCACTGAAATCCTGAAGTGCCTATGCAGGTCTACATACAGAGAGAACATTCATCAAATCAAAATGCTTATTCACCTGCTCTGATGAAAATAACATTTATTTAAAATTTTCATGGGATGTCAGGAGTATTTTAAGCCTTTGCTCCTACCAGGAGGCACAGTCATAGCTTTCTGTTCTGGAGATGAGAAAACCAAGACCCAAGAAGGTTAAGTGATTACTGGAGGTCACTGTGCTATTATAGCACAGCAAAACCTCTAACCTAGGCCTTCTGATTACAGTTATTGCTTTTGTTAAAAAAAAAAAAAGTAAATTAAAATGCACTGTCCTAGGCTCTGAAAGGATTCCAAGAAGAATCTGGCCCAGTTGTTACTATCCATGAAATTTCAAAGACATCCAAGTCTCATGGACACAATGAGTATGTTTATTAGTTAGAAAGATGATGATGTTTTTCAAAAAGGAAGAATGAAGAAGATGCCATCGGGTATACATTTGAACTGGGTAGCAAAAACCAAGTAGAGGGATAGAGTAACACAGATCCAAGGGGTTCTACAACTCCTCCTATGCTCTGTAATTAGTCTACCCAGAAATCTGTGTAATATGCAAAATCAGTCATTTCCAATCTCACGCCCTTTGAATGCCTCAGTCTTTCAGAGAATTGTAATGAGGATGCTGGAAATGGGGCATTGCCAATAGTAATGAATGTTTCTGCTTTTTAATGATGTTTAAGAATTTCAATTATAATCAAGGAAATGAACTTACTTCGGGAGAGATTCTCAAGGGCTTTCCCGAGCTTCTTGCTCTCTTGAAGGATGTGGTTCAATTCATCAAAATCCCGGCTTCCTGGTTTAGTCCGCCAGTTCCACTTAGGATGCTCTACTGCCCTTGGCACTATGTTTAAAAAAAATGGTTATTTCATAAGCATGCTGTATAACCACACAAACTCACTGTTCATTATTATGTGAAAGACTGAACCAAGATCAATGTACAGAATTTTATAAATGCTTAACTTGGAGATAGTCCTCTTATGAGCCAGCAGAAAGGAAGATATAATGTTGGGCTTGAAGAAAATGTTTTAACTGAACACGTCAGGAAAGTCTGGCAGATTTTATTTAAAAGAGGGAAATTCAGGTATTAATGTAGAACTAATCATTTCTGTAACTGAAGGGAAACACACGAAGCGTATTTTGTATTTATTACCAGCTTAAAAAAAAATTACTTCTTTATGACCAACTAGCAAATGCTTTTAAGACGTTCTACAAATGTCTTCTAAAAAATCATGTAAGATTAAGCACATGTATTTACCTTCACTTCTTCCCAAGATCCCACTAAAATTATACCATGATCAAGCAATTTTTTTCTCTCTTTCAAGAATTAATTGAAGAAAGGGAAAGGACAGTATGAGGTAAGATTTTTGTTGGTTTTTTTCTGGAAAATACAAAATGGACTGATGAGTGGTGACTGGATTTGGCAAGCAGAGACAACTGAAACCTAAGTCCCTGAAGAGAGGGATGCCAAGAGAGTAAACGTTTCATACTATTTGAACATTAAAGCATTAATTGAGGAGAACAAAGTCAAAGTAATAAAGCTATAAGAACTTAATTGTTTTCCAGATTTAAGGGGTTCACCTAATTAATATCCAGCACAATTTAAGACATATTGGCAAAAGAAAATTTAAATAGTGACAATAAAGAAAATATTCTAAACACTTTCATGGACAAAAAATAACAAGTCAAATTAATATTAGACTTCTCAATGGCAATACTTGCCCTAGAAGACAGAGGAGAAAATCCTTTAAAATTCCAACTAAAGATTATTTATGACTCAGAATTTTAATACCAGATAAAGAACCAATGAAGATATTCAAAGGACTCAAGAATTGATCTCGCGGGCACTGTTTCTCAGAAAGCTACAATTGTAGATGCCCCAGTAAAATGAGCCAAAGAACAGATTTGAAATTCAGGCAACAAGTGACTTCCCCAAAGGAAAAGTAAAGGGGATTTCTCAAGATGACTGTGAAGAATGATTTAAAGAGACAGCTGAGAACGTATCAAGAAGCCCAGAAGTCAAGAATAAAGCAAGGGGACAGAAGACTGGAGGAGAGAGGTCTCCAAAACCTTCTGAAAAATACAAAATAGCATAAAATGAAATAGAAGTTCCAATTACTTGATGTGTCTGATCATATTGAAAAGGTCTAATTCTTTGGGCAGGATTTGATGAAGCATTAGTGATGGGTATACAGAAAACAAAATAATCAGAAAAGAGAAAATTGCTAATTATAGAAAAAAAATAATAGTTGGACATTGTATGACCCAATGGTGAAAACTATGCATTAATATAGTCTAATAATATTGATACACAGTATATTTTTAACCAACATGTGGAGTAACTACTATACTGCCCAGCTGAGGTGGGATTTGGCATTCAAAGCACAAAAATGAAGGTGGAGGGTCAAGAAATGATGCCCAAATTGAAAAAGTAAAAGAATTGAGTTGGTATCTTATACATTTAGATATGTAAGAGGAGTCAACAGGAACATCTAAAGGTATTGAAAATTATTCTAGGTTAGGAGCAGAGTTGGGGAAAAAGAAGGAAACTACTGTCTCATGGTACCATTTTATTTTTAAGTCATGTAGAGATTTTTTTTGTTGTTTGTTTTTTAATACAGAGGATTAATCTCAGGGGTTCTTTACCCCTGAACCACATCCCCATCTCTTTATTTTTTTTGTTTTGAGACAGGGTCTCACTAAGTTGCTGAGGTTGGCCTTGAAACTTCAATCCTCCTGCTCAGCCTCAGGAGTCACTGGGATTATGACAGGTGTGTGCCACTCTACCCAGCCACATTTTATTTTGGTGAAAAATAAAATAAAATTTAAAAAGTATTTTAGTGGTAAGGATATAGTACATAGTCTCCAACTATTGAAATATTTCATTTTGCCACCTTTAGAAAATCTGATGATATCTCTTATACTGAGAAATGACTGACTCTATGACCAACAATCTTATGGCTGGTAAGTCAACAAAAAGAAATGTCACATCTGTACTGGGCACGTGGGGCACACCTGTAATCCCAGCAACTTTTCAGGGTTAGGCAGGAGGATTGCAAGTTTGAAGCCAACCTAAGTAACTTAGCGAAGCTCTAGGCAACTTAGTGAGACCCTTTCTCAAAATAAAAAATCAAAAAGGGCTGGGAATGTGGCTCAGTGGTAAACCACCTCAGGGTTCAAACCCCAGTATAAAAAAAAAAAAAAAAAAAAAGAAAGACAGAGGTCTGGGCTGGGGTTGTAACTGAGTGGCAGAGCACTTGCCTAGCACATGTGAGGCAATGGGTTCAATCCTCAGCAACACAGAAAAATAAATAAAACAAAGGCATTGTGTCCATTGACAACTAAAAAAGTTTTTTTAAAAAGAAAGAAATGGCACACCTGTACTCGTGTATATGTTCAAAATTGTTTATTTTCACAGAAAGTGAAACTTATTTTTTTTTAATTTCAGCAAATAGTTTCCATATACCCTGGAAAAAAATGTAAATGTCCTTCAACAGAGAAAGAGCTGAATAAATTATGGTACATTCACACCATGCTACAGCATGAAATTATTAAAAAGTATAAGTTAAATCTAAGTTTATTACCATGGAGATATTTCCCTGACACATTTTAAAATAATAAAAACGAGTTGCTTAAGTAGTTGTACAGTTGAGGACCAATTTTTTACAGCAAATTACCCACACATATTATATATGCTGTGTGCACAAAAAGGTGCAAAAAGCTAAAGCTATGTCTGGAAGAATTAAATTTGATGGATGAGAACTGGAGAGTGACTATTTCTTTTGCCACATATCTATATTTTTTTAATTGTCAAAATAAGCAAATATTGCTCCTATCATTTAAATAAACCTAAAAATTAAAATTAAAACAAAAATGTATCTGCTTCACCAAGCTTCTCTTAGTTTAAGGGACCCTGGGACAGAGGCAGTAGTCTACATTAACACTTGGATGTTCAAGCAGTAGAGTGTAGACAGGGTGATTGTGATCAACCTAGAAAACACCTGTAGGCACACTGCTGTCACATTAAGGTCATTCCCCAAGGGACCCCTATAGGTGAGCCCAAGGCTAAGAGAGAGAAGCTAAGATGAAGGAGCAGATAAAATGATATTTGTACCAGATTCTTCAAAACATTGTTCCACACTTCAGTTTTCTTTGAATGATTTCTCTAATTTGCATCTTCCATCACCATATTATCTAGTTTCCTGAAAATTAGCATGTGCTATCAAGGTCCTACTGTCTTCTTGTTCTTTTACTTATTAATTTACAGAACAAGAGCATATATTTTTAAAAAACAGTCCCAGTAAATATCCCCAGATAATCACCAGACAAGGTCCCACTGCCCACCATCAGCTGAGCTCTGCACCTGCAGACCCACCACTTAAATGCACCAATAAGGACAAGCCCAGGTGAGACCAGTAGAAACAATGACCCATCAACCCCAAATCATCGAATCTGGGAGGGTATGTGCAGCACAATAGAGAAAAGACACCACCCAAAAATGATACCACACTCAAGAATTTCTCCTACGCAACTATGGAGAGAAACTAAGGACAAGTTCTTTTGATGTTTTTGTAGCTTGTGATAATTTGACACATACATGGCACGTGACTTATGGGAACCGAATCTCAGACAACCAAAGTGACAGTTCAATCAAGGTCAAGTCAACTGTGCAAGGTGATTTCAAAAGCGGGTCGGATACATTCTAGAAGGAGATTTGGGAGGTCATCCATCCAGTAGGTAGCCTTCAAATGAGAATATTTCTGTAAAATGTTCTAATGGATTAAAAACTTTACTTAGGTCATGCTTCATTTCAAAACTTGGTTCTACAATTCACATGTATTTCATAAGATTATCCACAGAAGAACTGGAAACCAGTGGAACAGTGTCACTGAAAAGACTTACAGGAATGGATATCAACATCTGAGATCGGAGGGGCTCCTTAAGGCTACTGAGTCAAAGAACACTCCAGTGAAAACGCCGACCATCATGCCTTGAGGTAGCAGTCCTTCACAATGAGGTTTCTACTTTGCAGAACTGCCTATTGTCTACCAAGCCTGGCAAATTTTGGAAAAATGATTGTGTCAGTCAAATTTTTGACTCAATGTGAATTCCACCAACACTTTCTTGTATGGGTTAAAAGAATAAATTTTCTGTTTCTTCCTCATGACTTTTGAAATATTGCTTATCCGTTTCCTTTAAGTTGAAATCAGAACCCTCTTTTACTAATGAGTGTGTAAAACTACAACCTCTACAATGGAGAATCCAGCATCATCACTCAGAGTACAACTGCAATCCCACTTCTTTCTCTTTTGTTCTTATTTGATACATGAAAACATTACAATTATATATATTTGTGGAGTACACATGATGTTTCAAACATTTATAATACACCCCTAGGGCCAGCAAATGCCGATCGTGGCTAAGTTTGGGAGGGTACATGCAGCATTTTCTTTATGGTAAAGCATTCAGTTCCTGTCTTCTAGGTTTTTTGAAAGACTCAGCATATTACTATTAAGAACAGTCACCCTACAGTGCAATAGCATACCAGGTCAAGTCAACTGTCCTAACTGTAATTTCGTACCCATTGATAAACCTCTACCAATGATAAACCCATTGATAAACCTGTTTCTGAACCAGTTTCAAATTATTTATACCTTTCAGTTGTTTTCTAAAATTCAATAAATCTAAATCTTATCTGAAAGTTCATGTAAGTACTCTATTTTCATTTTAAATATGCCAGGAATATCCCCAGTAGTATATTTATGATACATTTAAAATTGATTATAATGAGAACATCACTGTGTGCTGCCTTCTGTATTTCCATACTGTGATTTTTTTCAGATA